GAGAGAGAGAGAGAGAGCGAGAGCGAGAGCGAGAGCGAGAGTGATAGAGAGAGAGAGAGAGGGGTCACATCACAGTGGAGTCAGCTGTCTTAACCGTGGCTTGTGTACTGCAAACACATACCAGCTTCATCACTGTGTCTGTCACGCGACTCTGTTCCCCTTTCGGGCTCTGTCTTTACATTTATTTTGAAAGATGAAGCTCGCAATTATGGTAAGGGGCGCTACATTTCCGACGAGTGCTTGCGGTGTTCGGCCAATCACAATGCACTGGGTCAGCTGGCCAATCAGAGCAGACTGCGCTTGTCGGAAGGAGGGACTTTGTAGAAAACTAAGCGTTTGAGAGAGGCGGGGCATAGAGGACCTACAATAATGTACAGTATTTGAAAAATAATGTGTTTTTTGAACATTAAAGCATGTCAACATATTCTGTTACACCAAATACACTAAATAATGATCTTTAAAAAAAGCATCATATGACCCCTTTAATGCACGCGCTAACATGAACTATCAATGAAGAGATGTATTTTTATTAACTAACATTAACAGAGATTCATAAATACTGTAGCAAATGTATTGCTCATTAGCATTGCATTGACTAATGTTAAATAAAGAAGTTTATTGAAAAATTGTTACCGCATAAAATGCGGTTAATTATTTGAAATTAAAGATTGTCGTAAAATTATTATTTGCTTTTGTAGATTATCATGTTTTGCTGCTCAAAGTATAATGGTATGATACATTCCCTAATGAAAAATCAACACTAAAATGTATTTGAAATACATTTATTTCATGTTAAGTATACTACAAATACATTTACATATTTACAGCGGGTAAAATAAGTATTGAACGCGTCACCATTTTTCTCAGTAAATGTATTTCTAAAGATGCTGTTGACATGAAATTTTCACCAGATGTTGATAACATCCCAAGTAATCCATACATACAAAGAAAACAATACAAATAAGTTCAGAAATTAAGGTATGTGTAATAAAATGGAATGACCCAGAGAAAAAGTATTGAGCTACTGAAATGTATTTAATACTTCATACAAAATCCTTTGTTGGTAATGACAGCTTCAAGACGCCTCCTGTAGGAGAAACTAGTCGCATGTATTGCTCAGGTGTGATTTTGGCCCATTCTTCCACAGAGTCTTCAAATCTTGAAGGTTCCGTGGGCTTCTTCTATAAATTCTGATCTTTAGTTCTTATTTTCTATTGGATTCAAGTCAGGTGATTGGCTGGGCTATTCTAGCAGCTTTATTTTCTTTCTCTGAAACCAATTGAGAGGTTCCTTGTCTGTGTTTGGGATCATTGTCTTGCTGAATTGTCCACCCTTGTTTCATCTTCATCATCCTGGTACTGTAGGTGTTGGGACTGAACCAGCTAATATTAATTTCCACTGACTAGGGGCAGGATTGCTTTCTAATTTTTGATAGATTTCAGCTGGTGTCTTAGCTTTCCCTTATCCCTTTCTTCATGTGTTCAGTACTTTTTCTCTGTGTCATTCAATTTTATTATGCATAACTTAATTTCTGAATTTTTTTTTTTTGTATGTATGGATTACTTTGGTTGTTACCGACATCTGGTGAAAATGTAATGTCAACAGCACCTTTATAAATATATTTTCTGAGAAAAATGGTGACGCGATCAATACTTATTTTACCCACTGTATGTACTTAATAAAATACCTTGCAATTGTTTTTTAGTATACCTAACTGTCACTATTTACAGGGTGTGTGCCTATTTCTTCTTCCCTTTCTTCTCTCTCCGTCTGTCACTCTCTCTATAATTCACTATGGCTGACACACAGACTCATGATTCATCTCTTCTTTTCTGACCATCGAACATTTGGTTTTCACATGATTTGGTACAATATAATGATTCTCCTTCGTTCATGGTTGGTATTTTAAGCATTTGTTGAATGCAGAAGTTGAGCTGTAACTAAGGGGGTTTTCAAACTGCTCTAAGGTCATGTACACACTGCAAAGATTTGCGAGGTACAAGTGAATTTCAATAAGCTATCATTATCAGATGTAAAGAATAATGAGTCATTCTTACTACAGCCTGAAATATGGCTGTAACCCTAAGGATATTTTTACATCTTGCAACTGTAGACATGAAACATGGATATCAAACAAATCGTAATGCCATTTGTTATGAAACCATTGTCAACTGAGGCCGTTGTTCGTGTTGTGTTTATGCTCATGCTGATTCCATTGCATTAACTAGCTGTTCAGTTTAGTTCTGCACACACTACATGAATTTAATAACATTTCAGTTGCTCACACCTTAGTTTGATGATGATAAGATAAAAATTCTGTTATCATTTACTCACACTCATGTCATTCCCAACCTTTCTTTGTGGAACATAAATGCAAGTAACCAAACAGTTTACATTGACAGTTTAGAATGACGTGAGGATGAGTAAATAATGACAGAATTTGCATTTGTGGGTGAACTCCCCTCAACACTAAAACACTAAAATGTATTTGAAATACATTTATTTCATGTTAAGTATACTACAAATACATTTACATATTTACAGATAAGTATTGTCTCAGTAAATGTATTTCTAAAGATGCTGTTGACATGAAATTTTCACCAGATGTTGATAACATCCCAAGTAATCCATACATACAAAGAAAACAATACAAATAAGTTCAGAAATTAAGGTATGTGTAATAAAATGGAATGACCCAGAGAAAAAGTATTGAGCTACTGAAATGTATTTAATACTTCATACAAAATCCTTTGTTGGTAATGACAGCTTCAAGACGCCTCCTGTAGGAGAAACTAGTCGCATGTATTGCTCAGGTGTGATTTTGGCCCATTCTTCCACAGAGTCTTCAAATCTTGAAGGTTCCGTGGGCTTCTTCTATAAATTCTGATCTTTAGTTCTTATTTTCTATTGGATTCAAGTCAGGTGATTGGCTGGGCTATTCTAGCAGCTTTATTTTCTTTCTCTGAAACCAATTGAGAGGTTCCTTGTCTGTGTTTGGGATCATTGTCTTGCTGAATTGTCCACCCTTGTTTCATCTTCATCATCCTGGTACTGTAGGGGTTGGGACTGAACCAGCTAATATTAATTTCCACTGACTAGGGGCAGGATTGCTTTCTAATTTTTGATAGATTTCAGCTGGTGTCTTAGCTTTCCCTTATCCCTTTCTTCATGTGTTCAGTACTTTTTCTCTGTGTCATTCAATTTTATTATGCATAACTTAATTTCTGAATTTTTTTTTTTTGTATGTATGGATTACTTTGGTTGTTACCGACATCTGGTGAAAATGTAATGTCAACAGCACCTTTATAAATATATTTTCTGAGAAAAATGGTGACGCGATCAATACTTATTTTACCCACTGTATGTACTTAATAAAATACCTTGCAATTGTTTTTTAGTATACCTAACTGGTATACTTAAAGTCTGCTCAATTGGAACAACAAATTTTGTACTTAATGCACTTTAATGGTGCTGAAGTCCAACTATAGATATACTGAAGTATATTTGATTGTGCTAAAGTGGAACTACTGCAAGTATACGTTACGTAAAGACAGATATTATTCACAGATCGTACAATCCTCCTTAATAGTGACATTATCATTATCATTGTGCACAAGTCTCGAGTGATACGTCAGTAAATATGGTAATAGATTTGAACAATACCTAGTATGAAATAAATTAGTATTTTTAATATATTACTTTTTTACTAGGGTTAAATCAAGCCATAAACAGGAAGTTCCAGGGTGCTGAAAATTTGCGTGTGTGTGTGTGTGTGTGTGTGTGTGTGTGTGTGTATACAAACCAGCAAGTTGCTTTTGACATTAGTCATGGCAACCACATGAGCCACTGGCAGCTTATTAATATTGTGTCTTTCTGTTTAGACATTTGGATGCTTTGCACTGACAGAGCTGAGCCATGGCAGCAACACGAGAGCTATGAGGACAACAGCCAGATATGACCCCAGCACTCAGGTACTCTAGTATACTCTACATGTCCTCTACTAACACAAGTCTGAACACATTGCAATCATATCACGAGATTATACAAACATGGCCTTTCAAATCATAAAGAGACATGAACTGTTGATTCATTAATCTAGGTTAATAAATAAACACAAAAATAAAGTTAAAACTAAATGTTAACATTCACATAGAGTAATAAATACTATTGTTCATTGTTGATTCATGATAGCTGAAGTATTAGCAACCATACTAAATATTTCATATATGTTATCTGAATAATTCAAATCACAGTCTGTCAATGACTCGCTTATAGGTAAATCCTCCTTGTACCACACATAGCCATCTGTCATTATAAAAGCTTTCTTATTATGGTTTTTACTATTCCTTCCTTCTGTTGAATTATTTTAGATGGTCCCTGCTAATTTATGTTGTTTTGAAATCCGCAGGAGTTTGTGATGAACTCTCCAGACTTTGAAGCAGCCAAGTTCTGGGTGGGGAACTTGGGAAAGACGGCCACTCATTCAGTCGTATTTGCACAGCTCTACACCCCTGATGGGCAATGCCACGGCCTTCACTCTTTTATAGTCCAAGTATGTGTGAAAATACGTTTTTTCAGTTCATTTGCTTGTCTTGTTAGAGCAGCTGTGAATAATTCCGTTTTAATGTAATTACATTTCTAGGTCAGAGATCCAAAGACCTTGCTGGCAATGCCAGGAGTGATGGTCGGGGATATGGGAAAGAAACTGGGTCAGAACGGACTGGATAACGGGTGAGTTTACTGCTAGACTGTGGACTGCCGAGCTGTTGTGATTACAGTATTTGGTCATTAGATGGCGATAAAAGAAAACCATAAAAGAATATATCGCTCTGATATCTGTCTCACTTCATCTCCGTAATATATCTTTCTGTTCATATAAATGAAAATGCTAGTCTTCATACTTTTCATTGTAATCACTTAACAAAAACATTTTTTGTAACGTCTAAAATAAATTCATGATTTTTTTTTTTGTCAGTTTTGCCGTATTCCACAATGTGAGGATACCTCGGGAAAACTTGCTAAACAAAACAGGAGATGTTACGCCTGACGGACGCTACGTTTCACCTTTTAAAGTAAGCAATATTATTTCACTGCCTAATAAACATTACATATACTGCCTGTTTTTATTGCATTTACACTGTGAAAATAATCTGTTTACAAAAAAGGTTATATACATACACATTAATAATAGCAATAGAACTGCATTTATTAATCTTTGTTAATGTTAATTTTCTATATTTGTGACCCTGGACCACAAAACCAGTCATAGGTCGCCGGGGTATTTTTGTAGCAATAGCCATAAATACATTGTATGGGTCAAAATTACCGATTTTTCTTTTATGCCAAAAATCATTAGGATATTAAGTAAAGATCATGTTCCATGAAGATATTTTGTAAATTTCCTACTGTAAATATATCAAACCTTAATTTTTGATTAGTAACATGCATTGCTAAGAACTTCATTTGGACAACTTTAAAGGTGATTTTCGCAATATTTTGATTTTTTTGCACCCTCAGATTCCAGATTTTCAAATAGTTGTACCTCGGCCAAATATTGTCCTGTCCTAACAATCATCAATGGAAAGCTTATGTATTCAGCTTTCAGATGATGTATAAATCTCAATTTTAAAAAGCTGACCATTATGACTGGTTTTGTGGTCCAGGGTCACATTTATTAATAAATTTTCAACATTAATGCACTAAAATGAATTAACAATGAACAGTAGTATATTTATAAATTTACATGAACCTAAATTAATTTAAAAAAGGATTGTTTGTTGTTAGTTCATGATACCTAATGCATTAGTTATGTTAATGTTTAGAACCTAATTGTAACACCTTTCAATTTTGTTTTTAAATATAGGATATGTGCAAAGCAACAGTATTTTCTTTGTTATTATGAACATAGTTAAAGTCCCCCTGTAGTCAAATATTTTATCCCTTAAAACTTATCTTTGATAATCAAAATGACATATTTAAATGTTTTTTCTTGTGAAAATAATTTTCTCATGCCTTAAAATAGCTTGAATGTAACTCTACACCCTTGTCTCATTTACTATACGCTGATCTATGAATATGCAAATTAGCCCAGCCTCCACTCACTCACAGCAGCCAGCGCCTCCAGATCCACTGAACTGTAGTAAACGCAAAACAATGGCATACACGGATAATGACTGATAAAACTATGTTTTTACTAGCGGACAACTACAGTGAATACTGTAATATTCGTTAACGTTACTTACTTGACGATGTTGTGTCCTCAAAATGCCTTGAAGACTCGAATACAGCCGTTTATGATTCTTAATTCGTGCCCGCGAGCATACATACGCGTGTGAAGTGCAGACGCCGATGCGGGAGAGGTGCATCTGACTCCAGGCTACTTTTACACTGTTGCCACGGGTTATAATGCAAGTTAACAGTTCTAAATTCACATTAAACCACGGCCTCATGGGTTTTTTGGTCTAATTTATTTTATTTTCTTGACGTGATTGGTTATTGGTTTGTGACGTAGCAAACCTAGGGCTGTTTCAAACCACATTTCTGGGAGTGCCATTGGGAAACTACACTTTTAAGGAGAAAATACTCAGCAATGGTGTTGATTAATGGATTGGCACATGGTTTGTCTAAAAGCATATTAAAAACACCACATAGACAAATAAACAACATAAAAAACTTGATTTTCACTACAGGGGGACTTTAAAAATAGAGCTATTTTGGTGTGTATCTGTGTGGACATCTTGCAACGCTTTACTCCCTCTGCAGTAAGAGAAAGCAGTGGTGCAGCAGCTGTGCTGTGCTATGCAACATGTACGAGAAGGAATCCCTATGCTTTCATTTCAAACAAACAGGGAGTTTTCAATCACAGGGAAAGCCAGGACATCAGCCAATATTACTGACAGAGAGACATAAAGGGGTTCAGAAGCGAGAAGTTGAAGATGAATCAATGAGATATAATTTGCCCTCCTTTTTCCTCACATCTCTTTTTTGTCTTTGTCTCATGTCTTCTCTGCCATGTGTTTTCAATTACTTTATCATGCTTCTTTCCATCCTGTCTTTTTCTAACCATAAACCTTTATAGGACCCCAATAAGCGGTTTGGGGCATCTTTAGGGGCTCTGTCAGGAGGCAGGGTGGGCATTACAAGGATGGCACTGGTCAATCTGAAGCTTTCGGTGACTGTGGCTGTGCGATTCTCCGCCACACGCAGACAGTTCGGACCCAAAGAGGACGAGGAGATTCCAGTGCTGGAATATCAGCTACAGGTACAGAATACTGACACTCTCCAGTGGAAACATTTCATGACCGAAGAAAACAGTCTTTCGCTACATCAGGAAGACTCTAGATAAATCTTCCTTTTCTTCCTTAATTTACTTTAAGAAATGAAAAACTTCAACAAAAAAAATTTGGAACATTTAATTTAAATAAAATGTAATTGAAAAATAATTACATTTAAAATAATAGAATAATTAAAAATCTGTACTTTTTGTTTTGTTCAGTACTTTCTTGTGTAAATACACTGCAAGTGCATATTTATTTAGTAATTTATTAGACGTTTTTTTCCAAAGCGACTTACAAATGAGGACAACAGAAGCAATCAATTGTAGTATTAAAACAACTAAAAACAGATCCAAAACTAAAAGAAACTTTATAAATACTACCTATACACATTTGAAAAATAAAGAGATTAAATAAAAATGACAAATGTATGCAACATATTTCAAAACTTAAAATTTAAATGAAAAACAAAAAAATAAAGCTAAAACCAATTCAAAATATTAAAGAACAAAAGGTATAAGAGTATAATAATGATTCTAACACTAAGCCAAACACCAAAAAAACAACTACATATGTGTATGTGCAACCACACACACATACAGATATACTGTATATGTACATACACATTTATAAGTTCAATATATATATATTATTTCATTTCCATTTAGTTTGTTGAAGTATTAAAATAACTCAACTTAATAAAAGACCTAAACAGACATAATAAATTCAGACGTAATGTAACTAAAATTAAAATAAATAACAAATACAAATAATATAAATCAAATGACAGTAGTTTATCAGTAATCCTAAAAAATAACACTACCAAACTTACATGCTAAAAAACAACAACTTACTTACACATAGTAAGAAATTGTTATAAAAACTGAAACAGAAGCGAAACAAATAATAGGAAAGAGGAGAAATAAAAAGCCATACTTATCCTTTGCCGGTGTCCCTGCACGGTAGAGTCGAGGGTCTTTACACTCTTCGGTCTTCACACGAGGAGGCCTTCACGCGACGGCTGCCACGACCGCTGTCGCGGTAAACTAAGCTTTTTTATACCCGTCTAACAAAATAACTAAATTAATTCAGCTGGACACACTTTCCTTATTTTCACACTTTTCTTATCTTCACAAACAGCATAAATGGACCATTATACACAAAAATATGTAGCTTCTTATACATTAAGAAGGGGATCATTATATTTGGTAGTCCTTGACAATGAAAAGTTAGAAAAGCCATTATTTAACACACTAAAACTTAAGACAATGTTCAGAGTCGGGCCACTAATGGCATCACACACATCCGCTGAAAATGATACGTTAGAGTCTCACAATGCATAAACAGTCCTAAAAGAGCCTCAAAACAAATGCCGAATATTTTGGGAAACCAAAACTAATCCATCAGAGCACACAAAGAACATACAGAGATCCGGAGTATAATAAGGCATGACAAATTAAAAATATAAAAATTAAAATATAAAAAAAACTATAGTATCAGCATATACTGTACATAAGGTGCAACCAAAATAATAATAAAAAAGATGTTATGCTACATGGCCAAAAGTGTAACATTTAACATTGCATGGAACATTTAATAGGCCATTTTTTGGAGAGATACAAAAATGAAAAATATTGTAACAACTTTTGATGTACAGTAAGTGAACTTACATTAATGCTAGCCAAAGGCAGTAACAAAGCTACTTCAGAAACAAACAAAAAAAAATGCTGCATTAATTGCGTTAATTATTTTTAACATGTTAAACAGCAGTTATTAATAAATTTAAGAAATTAACACATTAATTTTTTTCCCAGATCTATTTTAAAGATATTTAAGATTAGAGTTCAAAGCTAGATTAGCATTAAAATTAGATTGTTATGACACCATTAAAGTATTTGCATCCGTTAATATTTCTGGCAATTAATTGCATAGCAAATTAGTATTGTTTTTTTCTCTTATCCATTTAACCATATAAAAACTGTAAGTATAGTGTTGCATTGTGTTGATTCTATCACTTTTTTAAGCTCTAATACAGAATTAAATCTGCACAAACCCAAACTTCAATCATTTTCTTTTGTAGCACTGGTATTTTCCCTCAAAAAAAGTTCTTCAGTTCTAGTTCATTCTAGACTTCATTCTAGTTCAGTTCTGTTATTTAGCTATAGTGAAATTTTAGTTTTGTTTAATAGAGTCATTATTCATTTACGCTCAGAGGAAACAAAATAAACAAAATGAGCCTTATGTCATTTTCATATCACACTTTCATGGTTTTGGTTTTGTGTAATCCACGATGTTTGTGTGTACAGTGTTTGCAGTTATTAATAAATTTAAGAAATTAACACATTAATTTTTTTCCCAGATCTATTTTAAAGATATTTAAGATTAGAGTTCAAAGCTAGATTAGCATTAAAATTAGATTGTTATGACACCATTAAAGTATTTGCATCCGTTAATATTTCTGGCAATTAATTGCATAGCAAATTAGTATTGTTTTTTTCTCTTATCCATTTAACCATATAAAAACTGTAAGTATAGTGTTGCATTTATGTGTTGATTCTATCACTTTTTTAAGCTCTAATACAGAATTAAATCTGCACAAACCCAAACTTCAATCATTTTCTTTTGTAGCACTGGTATTTTCCCTCAAAAAAAGTTCTTCAGTTCTAGTTCATTCTAGACTTCATTCTAGTTCAGTTCTGTTATTTAGCTATAGTGAAATTTTTTTTATAAACGTGGCTCAAAAGTTTGGGGTCACTGTGGGTGTGTTATTTGTGTTTTATGAGAGTCTAGTCCAGCCAAAAACAAGCAGTCAGTTAAAGGTCATATGATATAATGAGTAGAGCTTGGACACTGTCCAGTAAGCGTCTCCACCTTGAGACGTGAGATTGAGTTTAACTAGAGCACTTTGGTGACATGAACTAGAATAGAGAATGTGATCGAGCAGGTTATGGTATGGGACTGATTAAATTATCTTAAAGCCTTCGGTGAGGGCAAGAGAGAAATTAATAAAACAGACCTTCTTCACACATAATACTGACCCAGCAACCACCAAACACAGAGAATCACTGTCTAGCAACCAGACACAAACACAAGCACATTGCTAAGCTTTTTTCATTACATTTTTCCCCTTTCTATAAACATCCCAATTAGTGTCTCGTCTGTGTGTCATGACTGTCATTGTGCTGTCATGACCTGGCTTGTGATTATGTGGGTCAAACTGTCTTCGTTTGCTCCTTGACTCCATAAACAGTCTCGGTAGATATATATGTTTGAGTTTGTGTCCTTGGATTCACTTTTCCTGTAACTTATCTCGCTCTCTCTCTCTGTAGGTGTATTATTGTCGCTCATTGGCAATTGCATATATTGAGCACACAGTGCTGCAGCGTTTCCATGATCTGATTCAGGATGAACAGACTCCAGCTGCTCTCAGATCAGTGCTGGGGCGTCTCTGTGCTCTCTATGGCCTGTGGACCCTCACCAACCACATGGCCATCCTGTATCAAGGTAAACCACTGTTCTCTGCAATGGTTTCTTTGTTTTTCCTTTCATGTTTGTTGGTACTGGCTGTGTGACACAAATGACGTGTTCAGGCTTGAATAGACTGCACAACTTTAAAAACTAGATTTTTTGCCCTTATTTACAGTCTGGACAATTTGACACAATTCAGAGCCAGTCTGCAGATTTGAGTTGACGTGTTTCATAGAAAATCGCGTAGTGTATGATGGGCACAGACTCCAATTTTTTAGCTTCAGACTGTGATTAAATCCAGTCGGAGGATATCAAACATTGATATTTAGAACACATATTGTTTTCACTTTTGTCACACGTCCCCTAGCAACAAGGCATGTGTTTCTGTGCAAGATTGTGTTCAAAACGTCTTGAAAGTCTGATAGTGTGTTTAGTGTATGATGTCCACTTTTTCCTCTGTAACTATTTGCAAAGTTTGTAGTGCATGTTAAACATCACTTAGTGTATTCTAGCCTTATGGCCACGTTCACACAGCAACAGAATACGGTTGTCAGTCCTGTATTTGAGTCCTTAATACGGTTACGTTCACACACAGTACAGTTATTTATGGGCGTGACAACCGCATTCTGTAACCATACTCACACCCTTAAATATTCAGGACTCAGAACCGGAACACATGCGCTGTGTGAACGGAACAGGACTGGACTACTAATGGTCTGTCACGTCATACAGCACGAGAGAGCCGCTCTGCCACACAAACACGCGTCTACTGTGTGTTACGTGTTTTCGGTAACTTACAGTGATGGAGAAATGAGCTGCGTGTCATCTGAATGTTTTAGATCCGTCAGTTTTCCACCAGAGCCGCTCCCGTCAGTTTTGTGTTCTGCGCGTGATTCAAATGCTCCGCTCTCCACCCAAATTTAAAGGGGTCATATGATGCAATTTCAAGTTTTCCTTTCTCTTTGGAGTGTTACAAGGTGCAAAGACTAAAGTCTCAAACCAAAGAGATATTCTTTATAAAAGTTAAGACTTGTCCACGCCCTCCTAAAACGACTCGTTCTAACACGCCCCCACATGTCTACGTCACTGTGTGGGAAGATTTGCATAACACCGCCCAAATGTTCACACAAAGAACAGTGGTTAAGTTATATTTACAACACTCTTCCAGAACAGTTCAACCCAAATATTCAGATGTGTGCAGTGCATTTTATGGAGGACAAGGACTGTTTCCTGGGAGAGTAGCCTACAATGCCGTCTGTGCACAAAGGCTGTTTCTATAAAGTGGGGCAATTCTAACTTTGCAAGGACACTCTGGCGCTTCTGACTCACAGCCTGTAAGTATGTTTTCATATTTAAAGAATTTGCCACTGATGATTCAAACGTGAGTTTTGAGCAGTGTAGAGTAGCGCTTGTTGTTTGTCGTTTCTCCGATCACAAATGCAGACATGGTTTTATGTTTACGCGGCGTGATACGCAACGAGTGAAAAGACAGTATAAGTCTTTATAATCGGTAATTATGTCCCCACTGGATGCAACAAATGCCTAATTTATAATGGGTTTTATTGGTTTGGTCTCGTCGCTCCGGCCGGGACACGCCATCACAGTATGGTAAGGGGCGTAACATTTCTGTCACACGCTTGAGGTAGTCGGCCAATCACAACGCACTGGATAGCTGGCCAATCAGAGCACACCTCGCTTTTCAGACCGATGAGCTTTGTAAAAATCGGCGCGTTTCAGAAAGGTGGGGCATAGAGGAGAAACAATAAAGTACTCTATGTGGAAAATAATGTGTTTTTTGAACCTTAACGCATAAACACATTGGATTACACCAAATACACAAAATAATGTTCTTTTTAGCA